ATTGTATGTAAATTTCACATCAGAGAAAAGAACTGTAAACAAATATCGAATTCTAGTTAATGGTATGAGCACTGAAGCCTTGGCAGGGAAGTGTGCAGATGTCCACAACATATTAAAATAGGTAAAGAGTAAGATGGATGAGTGAACGGATGGATAGATACTAAAGCAAATATATGCAAATCTTAATTGCAGTATCTAGGAGCAAGTGTGTGGCTGTTCGCTGGACAATTCTTCCAACTTTGCTGTGTGTTCGAAATATCTCAGAATAAGATACTGGGACCTCTGTCCCGTGATCCCCACAGGGAAACCTGTCTTCTCCCACCCAGACAAGCAAGGGGCCCCTCAAATTCAATGTACCCACGCTCAGGTTTGTCCACTTCCCCAAAAACGGTTCCTCTCCCTGAGTTTCTTCCTTGGGTCTAGGTTCTCATTCTCCAGACCTGAAAGTTGGAAGTTGCCAGAGATTCCTCCCTGTAACCACTGGGTCCCAAGATTTACCTTAGGGTGACCAACTATCCTTCTGATTTACCCAAGACTGAGAGGGTTCCTGGGATGTGGGACTCTCTATGCTAAAATCAGGAAAGTCTCCGGCAAACTGGGATGAGTTGGTCCCCCAATTTCTTATTTCTGCCTCTTAAACATGTTCAGTTTATCCAAATTGCCACTGCCCTACTCTATAATAATAATACACATAATAGTAATGATAATAATAACAAGCAGTGGCAGCTAGCTTATAGGGGGTGCTGGCTATGAACAAGGTCCTATTCTGCATGTTCCATCTGTGACAGGACTTTTGGTGCCAGTACACGACACTCTGTACTGAATAACTGTAACATCACCCGTGTTAAAAATGAAGAAATAGGGCTTCCCTGGTGGTGCAGTGGTTGAGGGTCCGCCTGCCGATGCAGGGGACACGGGTTCGTGCCCCAGGTCGGGAGGATCCCACATGCTGTGGAGCGGCTGCACCCGTGAGCCATGGCCGCTGAGCCTGCGCGCCCGGAGCCTGTGCTCCGCAACAGGAGAGGCCACGACAGTGAGAGGCCCGCATACCACAAAAAAAAAAAAAGAAAGAAAGAAAAAAAATGGATAGATAGAGATACAGATAAATAGATGGATAGATGTAGTTAAATGGATATACAGATAGATATAAATAGATATAGAAATGAGACTTCCCTGGCGGTCCAGTGGTTAAGACTCTGCACTTCCACTGCAGGTGGCGTGGGGTCGATCCTTGGTGTGGAAACTAAGATCCCCACATGCCGTGCAGCCAAAATAATAATAATAATAATAGATATAGAGAGACAGGCGATATAGATCTGTCTGTGACGTGCTTTTTTCCAGACTGATCTTTTAAAAACACAGCTTGGACCCTATCCTGCAAACCTGTCACCCTCCAGATCAAGTCCACACTCCGTAGCTCCAGGCCATTAGCTCCTGATACATCCCACCTCAGGCTCTCCTCACGACGTGTACCAATCTGCTGCACACCTCCCTTCACTGACTGTGCTTGTCAGAAGTAATGCTAACCGCCTACCCCCCTTCTGACCCCATCGAGTGGACATTTGTTGTCCACCCAGACCTGCTTTCGTGGGAATTCCTTGCGGGGGGGGGGCAGGGCGGGGACTTGACAACAGTAGAGACAGGGGACTAGGTGTTGGGTGTGTGTGCTAACTGAGTCAGGGTGTCAGGATAGTCTGAGGAAGTGGCATTGAAGCCAAGTGCTCAAGGACAAGAAGGTGGGGGAGAGTGGGCCAGTGGAGGGCACAGCAAGTGCAAAGGCCCTGAGGTCAGAACACACTGTCCTTAGTGTGACTTGTGTGCAGTGGCCCCAACACGAAGGAGATGCACACATTGACATATCTCCAAGAGTCCTGGACAGATTATCAAAAACAACAACAACATTTGGGACTTCCCTGGTGGTCCAGTGGTTAAGACTCCCTGCATCCAATGCAGGGGGCACAGGTTCAATCCCTGGTGGGGGCACTAAGATCCCACATGCCACGCAGCTTGGCCAAAAAACAAAGAAAACAACAACAACAAAACAACAAAGTTAGATCTGAAGCAAGCTGTAAAGGAGTTAGTGGTATCCACTCAAGGGATGAAGCCAGGAGGGTCGGGGGAAGCTGCACATTCAGACTGGAGGGAAGGGTGTGTCATGCAAGCGAGTCCCTTCATTCCATCCTTCCCCAGATAATTCCTGAGCAGCTGCCTTTGTGGGCCCCAGATTCTAAATGCCAGAGAAACAGCAGCAAACACCACCGACTGCAGACAGTTCTTGTCGCCTCAGACCTCATTCGGGTGGGGAGACAGACTGAAAACAAGATAAGCAGAGTTTGGTTCATCAGGCAGTGATAAGGGCTACTGAGAAAACTACAGCAAGTTAAGAGGAAGTCAGGACGGGGGTGGAAGGGATGCTTTTTAGATAAGTTAAAGGAACTTAAATACAGTGGGAGGGAGCCACGGTGGTAGCTGGAGAAGGAACAACCTTCTAGCAAAATGGAACAGCAAGTGAAGTCAAAGCGAGGGCTCCTATTCCAGGAAGGGTGAGAAGGCCAGAGGAGTGGTGAGAGCTGGGGCAGAGAGGGAAGGGGAGGGCAGGGAGGAACTCAGCCATGGGATTGACGTTGGTGTTGGGAAGCAAGGCAGGAGTGGAGGGGGAGGGAGGCTCAGAGCCAAATCCTGATCCACCTCCACAGAAAATCAGCAGAAGCAGGCTCCCCTGGGTGAATGGAGGGAAAAGAATTTACTCAGAACCCCAGAGGTGACCAGAGAGATATAGCCAAGGGTTCACAAGTTTCATTACACACTCCACAAGAAGTCTGATTTCTTTTCATGTGCGTGTGCTTTTGTACTTTTTAACTTAAAAGATACAGAAAATGTTAACATTTGACAAACTTATAAAATGGTATCAGTAGGGAATTCCCTGGTGGTCTAGTGGTTAAGACTCCATGCTTCCACTGCAGTGGGCATGGGTTTGATCCCTGGTCGGGGAACTAAGATCCCTGCGTGATGCACAGCATGGCCAAAAAAAAAAAAAAAAAAAAAATGGTGTCAATAGCATCCCATTTTTCAGAAGACACATTTAGGCACAGAAAAATTAATGGAAAAAAATTACTGAATAGTCACTCTCTAGGCAGACGAGTGTAATCATTTTCCTCGTACTTTTCAGTATTTTCCAACGTTTCTTTAAAGACCAGGTAATACGATATGATAATAAATATTATAATTTTGTGTGATCTCAAAAAAATACAGAAAGCATAGAAGATAATCCCTCAAACACCCCCCCAATTCCATTCCTCTTCCCCAGAAAACAATCACTGCCCTGGATTTGTGATGAGGTCTTTGCTTCCCATGTTTACATTCAGACCACAGATACATTAGGAGGAAGTTTGCATTTATTCTGCTGGCAAAATAATAGTGCTTTTCAAGCAAAAAATCCAAACAATACATAAAGTATAAAATGGAAAGAGAATGCCCCACCCCACCCCCAAAGAATGGAAAGTAATTAACAGCTGGAATATAAATTTCACCAGCACATGGGGCCCCAGCAGAGCAGGTGTTTCCTATCTGTCTTGTTCCCTGCTGGGTCTGCCAGTACTGGGCATACAGCAGGTGCTCAGTGCATGTCGAATCCATGTTTAAGTTTCTTGGATCATGCCTATTTTGAAAGTAAACCGTTTTATTTTGGAGTAATTATAGATTTACAGGAAAATTGCAAAAAAAAAAAAAAAAAAGCAAAGAGTTCCAACATACACCTCACTGTTGCCTCTATGGCCAGCATCACCTGGAACCATGATATACCTGGAACCTATACGCGATTCTGTTACTTAGTTGTGTTACTGTTCACAAAACTCCAGGCTCTGTTTGGATGTCACCAGTTTTTCCACAAGTGCCCCTTTTCTGGCCCAAGATCCCACATTCAGTTTGTCCTCCCGGCTCCTGGGTCTCCTCCAGTCTGTGACAGCCCCTCAAAAGTTGCTTTTTCATGACTGGGCCATTTTTGCAGAGTTCTAGGCAGGTATTCTGTAGAATATCCCTGGATTTGGGTGTATCTGGTATTTCTCTCATCATAAGCCTGTGGTTACAGGTGACGGGAGAAACCCAGGAGGTGAGGGGCCCTTCTCATGACATTATGTCAGGGCCACGTGATATCAATAAGACATCACTATGCTGTTCACCTGGATCATCTGTTAGGGCGGTGTCTGCCAGGTGTCTCCACCAGAAAGTTCCCATCTTTTGCTTTCCCATGTTTACTCTTCAGATGAGACTCTTTTGCCTCCCGCCCACCTTCAAAAGGAGGCGGGAAGGGTTGCAGCCCCAGCTCCTGGAGGGGTGTTTCAACATAAATTATTTGCGATTCTAAGTAAGCTTGGACTCTTCTGCCCTCACACCTAAAGACCAGGAAATTGAGGTTGAAAATGAGACTTCCTCACTAGAGGGTGGCGCAGCCCGGGGCTGAGGCCCCACCCAGCGCTGCGATCGTGGGGGCCGTGAACGCCCCAAGTGCGCAGGCAGGTGGAGACTCTGCCTGCGTGGGGACAGGGGGAGGAAATCGGGTCCCCGAGCCACCCTGCCCGGCCGAGCTGCAGCCCAATCGGCAGGTCTGCGCCGCCCTCCAGGGAGCGTTACCTCCTGTTACAGAAGGGCGCCCCGCAGGCGTGGCGGCGCGCAGGGGCCCAGCAGCATCCCCGGGCGCGCCGGCCTGGCCAGGAGGCCCAGGCGCCCGCGCTTGCGGCCGGGGATCACCTGGGCCGCCCCCTGCCCGCCGGCAGGGCGGGCTAACTGCCGCCTCCTTAAAGCCGGGGCCGAGGCAGCCCCGACGGCTAGCACCCCGCACTCCTGCAGCTCCGCTCTCGCGGCCGCGCCTGGCCTTGACCCCTGGCCCAGCCTTTGCCAGGTGAGACCGGCCCGGCGGCGGGAGGTCTCCACCTGGAGGAGGGGTCTCCGCCTGCCCTCGTGACCCACTTCCTGTTTGTCGGGGCTGCGGGGCCGTGAATGAGGGGCCCCAATCCACTCTCGCAAGAGGCTGTAGGGAACCAGCGTTGAGTGTGCAGCGGGCAGTCAGGGCCGGGAGGAGGGAGGCAGGGAGGGGAGGGGCAGGTCACAGCGGCCTCAAGTGCAGGGGCCCTGCTGCCCCATAGCCTGCCCCCCTGCCATGGGGTCTGAGGGTGTGAGGGTCAAAAGTCTGTGGTCACATGGCTTGTCACCACCTGCCTCCTGCCTGGGTTCCTCCTGCAGGAATGGGGGGGTGGGGCAGAGAGGAAGGTGTGGGCAGGACTTCCTGGGAAAGGCAGCCCCTGCTGTTTGGGGGAGGGGGAGGTGACCCTGGGACTCAGGCTCAGATGTTGTCAAACACACCTCACACACCGGACCTACAACTCAGCTGAGAGACACAACACAGAGACACACAACTCGGCTCGGCCACAAGACAGGAAGACACAAGTCCTCGTCGCGCACACACACAGTTCCACTTGAGGACGCAGGCGCGCGTCACAGGCTTGCCACACAGGCCTTGCCAGCTCAGTGTCCACAGCCACGGGGACATGGGACTCCCTGGCACACAGCAGACATGTGACCGAGGCAGGCACGCTTCGCTACACACAGAAAACAGCTCAGACACACCCAGGCACTGGCAGACAAACACGTCCGCGGAGGACACGGACACACACACACACACACACACACACACCGCGGAGGACACGCACACACACACACACACACACACACACACACACACACACACACACGGGAGGTGCCTGGCCGGGGCGCACAGATAGAGCTGCGCACACAGAACACACGAGGGACACGACACAAACGCGCTCCTGTGGGCAGACGCAGAGCTTGTGGGGCAGGCGCGGCGGCACTCATAGGCCAGACCACCCCCACGCCCCACCCCCGCTCCCGCCTCGAATCCCGTGTCCGGCCGGGGAACTAACTCCAAGGCTCACATGACCCGAGGGGAGGGCTTCTGGAACAGTTGGCGGAGAAACTGCATCATCCCCTCTAATGATCCATTTCCGCCCCCAGGTAATAAAGGCTCAGTGACTGCCAGTTCTGCTCTGGAGCTCACCTGCCTCTCTGAGCCCCCAGCCGACTGGCTTGTGCCTCCCCCAGGGTGAGTACTGGGCCCCGCATAACCCCGCTTCCCCGCCCCGCTGGCTGGACCCTGCCCGCCCCCTGACCCTCCCAGACAGCTCTTGCACTCAAGTCCCGGGAGCTAGGGAGCCAGGCCATCCCTGCAGGGAGCCGTCTCCTCCTTTCTCAGAACAGGGCAAGTAGGGATCTCGGGGGGCGCATGCTGCCCATGCCCCAGACGCTTGTCTCTCCCCTCCCAGATGGACACGTGGACGGTGCTGCTCGTCCTGCAAGCCTCGTTGGTGCTCCCCCGGGCTGCCAGCATCAGTACCAACACCCGCACCGCCCCCGCCCCTGTCCTGCGCTTTGTTGCCGTGGGTGACTGGGGAGGAGTCCCCAATGCCCCGTTCTACACAGCCCGGGAAATGGCCAATGCCAAGGAGATTGCCAGGACCGTGCAGATCCTGGGCGCAGACTTCATCCTGTCCCTGGGGGACAATTTCTACTTCACTGGCGTGCAGGATGCCAACGACAAGAGGTTCCAGGTGTGCGCCACTGGAGTAGGTGTGGAGGCGGGGGGATACGTGGAGAAGCCACTCGACCTTTTGACTCTGGAGAGGGCAGAGGGAAGATGACACTTGTAGACACCTAGCACACTCAGCGTCTCCCTTGTACATGGCGCCTGACTTGGTGGGAGCATCCGATGGCTGCTTGAACCTGCGGGGGGGGTGGGGCTCCCTTCTCTGTCTGCTGCAGGAGACCTTTGAGGACGTGTTCTCGGCCTCCTCACTCCGCAAAGTGCCCTGGTACGTGCTGGCTGGCAACCACGACCATCTGGGGAACGTCTCGGCACAGATAGCCTACTCCAAGATCTCCAAGCGCTGGTGAGCCTGCCCCTCCTTCTATCCATCCCTCCGCCAGCCTCGCTCAGGTGGGCAAAGGGATCCATCAGCCAGAGCTGAGCCTGGGGCTTCTCTGCCCAAGACGGGCGCCCACCACCTCCATCCCATCCACAGGAACTTCCCTAGCCCCTACTACCGCCTGCGCTTCAAGATCCCACGGTCCAACGTGTCCGTGGCCATCTTCATGCTGGACACAGTGACACTGTGTGGCAACTCGGACGACTTTGCCAGCCAGCAGCCAGAGAGGCCCCGCAACCTGGCGATGGCCCGCACGCAGCTGGCCTGGATCAAGAAGCAGCTGGCGGCGGCCAAGGAGGACTACGTGCTGGTGGCCGGCCACTACCCCGTGTGGTCCATCGCCGAGCACGGGCCCACCCACTGCCTGCTCAAGCAACTGCTGCCGCTGCTGACCACACACAAGGTCACCGCCTACCTGTGCGGCCATGATCACAACCTGCAGGTGAGGGAACTGAGGGTGGGGCGAGAGCCTGGTAAGGGGTCCCCAGCCCAGCCACTGTGCCACATGGCATATTGGAGTCCTCCTTCTGTTTGGGAGCCCCCTGAATGTCACTCTCTCTCAAACTCTATGCTCGCTAACCAGGAAACAGCCCAAAGTTCCCTAAAAGCCATCTCACGGGTCCCAGTTGACTATTGATTGCTCAGATCAATACACTCTCACACGTGGGAAAACAGGCCCAGGACAGGAGGGGGTGGGGTATGTCCCTTGCTCAAGGTGACTCTGTGGTCCATCACAGGCCTGACCCTGGACTCAAGACAGGTAGCCACCAAGCCCGTGGTCAACCTCACTGAGGGGCTGGGGGCTCCACTGACCCTGCTCCCTCTGTCCACAGTACCTTCAGGATGAGAATGGCGTGGGCTTCGTGCTGAGCGGGGCCGGGAACTTCATGGACCCCTCGAGGAAGCACCTCCGCAAGGTCCCCAACGGCTACCTGCGCTTCCACTACGGGGCCGAGAACTCCCTGGGTGGCTTTGCCTACGTTGAGATCAGCCCCAAAGAGATGAGCGTCACTTACATCGAGGCCTCGGGCAAGTCCCTATTCAAGACCAAGTTGCCAAGGCAAGCCAGGTCTGAGCACCAGCACCGACGGGGGCTCCAAGCTGGGGCCTGAGTTAGGGGCACCTCCCCGCTGGTGGGTGAGTGGGTCCCGCTGGGACCCCCTGCCCATGGGCAGGCTTTCTCAAGGGCCGGTGGTGCTACGGCAGAGCAGGAAGGAGGACAGATGAGAAACTGTGGTGCCACATGGCCTTTGTGACAAGGATGCCCACATACGTGAAAGAAGCATGGACACGTGTTCCGGCCAGAGTGCCAGGCCCCTTGGCCAGGCTCGCCCAGCCTCAGTTCCGGGCATTGGGGGACAGGGAGGGAAAGCCCTCCCCTGGATCAGGCATCCTTCTGTCACTGCCAAATAGTCAATAAAAAGAAATAGTTGCAGAGGCTGAACGTGTATCATGAGCATCCCTTTCCTCACCTCACTGGCGAGATGCATCACCTGGGTTTGAAAGGGTCGGGGCTCCCCCACTTGCTGGTCTGCGTCTCCATCTCTAAGCCTCATCCATAACCAACTGGCCTCATACATGGATGCGATTTTAAGTAAAGACCAAACACAAAGAAGGGTCCAAGGTGAAGCAAGCCTTCCTCCCCCATGCTCACCTTCCTAGGGACAGCCATCATCATGTTCTTTCCTTCCATAATACAAACATCCTCCTTTTTTCACACAAAGCATCACAATGTATACACAGTTCTGCATGCGTTTTTCTTTTTTCCTTTTTTTTTTTTTTTTGGCGGGATCTTAGTTCCCAGGGATCGAACCCATGCCCCTCACAGTGGAAGCACGGAGTCTCAACCACTGGACTGACAGGGAGGTTCTTTTTTTTCTTCTGGGGTGGGGCGGGGGGGTCTATTTAACCACAGGTGGACTGTTCATATCAGAACATTCATTTTTGTTCATTTCACTATGGAATCGGTGCTATTCATATGGTTTGAAAATCTAAACTGTAGAAAGGTAAAATATCTCTCACCCCCTTCCCATCTGTCCCTCCACCTTTCCAGAAAGGAAATAGCTTTTTGTAAATGCCTTGGGCTTCCTTGCAGCATTTCTGTGCGCAAATGAAAGCAAACCTGAACGGTTTTTTCCTCCTCTTCCCCACTGATCTGCACCTTGCTTTTTTTGGTTTTGGTTTTGTTTTCTTTTTCAAACCAACTTCATTGTGGTCTAATTGACACATTTTGAAAGTCTGCAGTTCAGTAAGTTTTGACAGAGGCACACACCCACAAACCCACCACCACAATCAAGATAAAAGCATTTCCTGCAGCCCCAAAGTTTCTTTTCAATTTGCTGTTTCTGCCTGTTGTACCTGGAGATGTGCCCATCAGCCCTCTGGGGGAGCTTCTTTCTGCAGCTACAGAGGCCCCACTGTGTGCCAGTCCCCAACTGTCTATCTAAACAGCCGTCTTCTGAGGGTCGCCTGGATTGCTTCCAATAATTTTGCTATCCTCAAACAATGCTGCCATAAATGACCCACACATTCATTTCCTACATATGCAGATGTGCTTGTAGGATAAACCAGTCTTTTCCGATCTTTCCCTCTTACCAACATAGTTGCAGTGGACACACCTGGACCCATGCTTTTGCACATCTGTGCAAGTACGTACGGAGGAAAACTTCCAGAAGCAGAATTATTTCAGGGCCTGTTCCTGCTG